AAATCATTACACAATTCAAAGCAAATTACATCCGAGTTTATAAACGAGGTAAAATGAACACCTTCAAGTGTAAGCATATTGCTTTTTTGTTTTTCAATATAATTAACTTTTTCAAAATTAGATTCAGGCTGCTCTAAAGTGCACTAATCAATATAATGAAGTAAAATATTATGGAATAACTAAAAATCCAGCTACGAATGAATACTCGATAGTGATGACTTATGCAACTGATGGCGATCTACGCAAATATATAAATTAAAATATTTAATCAGTATTCTCTATCGCTATCGCTATGATCTGAAAAAATTCACAATGGAATTTGTGCATCGTGACTTTCATCCTGGAAATATATCGATATTAATAATGATCGATGCTTGTGATTCTTATGCAAAATGACGATTTTTGAGTGCAAGAATTATTAATCGGGAAAAAACTAGCCTTTTTATTTTTTATTTACAAATACTCGATGATTCCTCACTAATTATGGATACCTGGCAATTATCTATTACATACCGATACGTATTTGCCCCTGGCAGTTTTATCTTGGTATACTCGCGTCTTGTTTTTTCGTCGTCTTCATTTTATAATGACCGACTTGCAAAATTACGAATATATTAATACTGACTTGTATTATAATCAAGATGATACCAACTTCGACTATGACCAAGATGATACCAACTTAGACTATGACCAAGACGATACTGACTTAGATCTTCCAGATAACGAAAACACCATTTTGGATCTCTCAGGTAATAATCAGGATGACATTTGCAAAGTAATAATAATAAAGATTAGAACGATACTGATTATAATCTTTTAGATAATAATGACAATCAGCTTACAGCCGAAGACTCAGCTTCTAATGTTCAAAGTTCCCAAGAAGATGCATCAAGTACATTCACTATGTCAGTTTCTACTAGGTTACGTCCTATTATGTCACGTTCACGAAACAAAAAAAACCCTAATTCATCCGTATGGCAATATTTTGACACTAAAACATCAAGTTATCCTGGTCAACCTGTTTGCAAACAATGTAAAGCTGTCTTC